GGGGATTTTTATCAACGCATTCAAACCCTAACTGCATGGCAAGCCTTCTCAAATCTTCAATGCGTTGAGGGATTTGATTTCGCTTTGAAAAAACTAGGTAAAGACTTGCCACCGACGTGTAGGAATTCTACACGATTCGACTCATTCATCTTCCATCCACTAATTGCTGCTCTGGTTACTGATATGTGGGTGGGTCCATCCCACCTTTTCTCTGATCACTCCCCGATCTATGCGCGCATATCGTGTGATAAGATGCATACCTTGCCGCCCACGCTTTTTGTCCCTGAAGACTGGTCATGTTTTCCAATTCAGGCTGACCTCTTCGCACAAAAATATCATGATACAGCGCAAGAAGTGTTTTTAACAACACACATCGAATCAGATTCCGTCCCAGTAGAGCATAAAGTACGACTCTGGTCACAAACAGTGGAGAAAGCTCTTGATCGAACACTTCGACTTATGCATACTGCAGACCCCATTTATTCCTGTGTCCATTCCAGATTTGCCATTACTTCGCATTCTCTTACAGCTAACTCGTTATGAAACTGATATTGCCGTCCGTCAAGAGGAAAAAATGCGCCGCGCAGCGCGTAAGCACCGAATTCAGCAAGATAATCTTGACAAGAATGGTTCGCTAGTGTATCGTGACCTTCGTGACAAGGAACAAAAGGTGATTTCTGGTCTCGCGTGCCCAATCTTCATAGAAGCTAAGCTTATTCGACTGTCGAAAGGTATGGTGAGATTGCTTCTTACGACTGATTGTAAGTTTCGAGAAGGTGATGCATTATATGGTGATATACCAATTAAAATTCTTTCTCAATCCCAGAGATTAATATGCATTGAGCCACCGTGCGTAACAATTCCTCTCCGAGGGACGCTGAGTCAGTCACGACATACGGAAGACATTGATACCTTGTCACGCCATTTCTTTTCTTTCTGGAACCCCATGTGGCAGCGAGATACAGAAACAGAAGCTACAGATCTCTCGGCATGGGATGACGTGTTTCATGATATTTTGCCGTCCGTTCCTCCACGCGATCCCATTCCGATCACTTGTAGTGATCCACACGTTATTCGTTCCACTATCCAGCGTCTCAAATCATACAAGGCTCCGGGGGTCGATGGTTGGAGGGCTCAAGAACTTAAGCTTTTGCCATTGAAGATCTCGCGTGTGTGTTTCGTAATATATGGCCCCATCAATTCTCCAAGAATCAAATGCTAGCCAGAGTAATTTTGCTAGCTAAGACTGCACATCCAGAGTCATTTTCAGATGGCCGCCCAATCACCATTCTTGGGTATATTCCTAGGCTGACGTCCAAACTAGTTGCAGACCAACTTTTACGTGAGTGGGGAAATACTTGGGACCCGAAAATTGCCGGAGGGCTCCCATTTCGCGCAGTCAAGGATATTACCATCCAACAGCAATATATCCTTGAAAAAGCGCACACATCGGGCACACCATTTGGAGGCTTCACACTGGACCTGGTAAAAGCATTTAATCTCATCCCTCGTCAGATTGCACGACGCCTAGTAATCCACTTTGGTGCACCGGATTTTGTCATAAGTTTTTGGATTCGGTCCTTAAATGACATGCAACGTATGCTCCAAACAAGCAAGAATTTTGGACCTGCATGTTCGTCAACGACCGGGGCTCCGGAGGGGGATGCTTTATCGGTGTGCGCAATGTTGGTGATTGCCGCAATTTTCTTCCATCATATGTCTCAAGCTAGGGTGACCCCATTCACTTACGCTGATAACTGGACCTTTTTGTCGGATAATGAGAGAAGTTTGTTCCGAGCACTGCGCACTACTCTTAATTTCACGCATGCCATCCGTATGAAGGTAGATATTAAAAAATCCTGGGCCTGGGGTACCGCCAAATCCATGAGGGACTTTTGGAGTCATGCCCACCTGTTATTTCCATCAGATCACATTGATATTGCAGTTCGGCATGCTGCTAAAGATCTAGGATGCACAATGCAGTACACTAAGCAATGTGTATTAGGGTGTCTTACTGATCGTATGGCCTCTGCAAGTAGGCGATTAACTCGCTTGCGTCGTCATAACTTATCGCTAGATGAAAAAGCCATGAAGATTCAGAGTGCAGTGTGGCCTCTTGCGTTTTATGCTGCAGAGAGTCAGTTTATAGGAGAATCTCACTTGACAAAACTTCGCCGTCTGGCTACTGATGCTTTGCTAGGTAAGCATAAATATGCCTCATCCCTATTAGCACTGTCGGTGATATCCGATAAAGTAGATGACCCACTCCTATACATCATCTCTTCCGCAATTTGCAGTCTTCGTCGCCTGTTCCACTATCACTCTCAGATTGCAAGTGAAATGTGGGAACATGTGGTCAATGCAGGATCCCAACACATGATGCAACCATCAAGCTCCCCGATGGACATCAAGTGTCTCTTCGCAATGACTCACCTAAAGAAATTAGACGTATCGTTCGCCTAGCATGGTCTCACTATGTTTTGGAACAGACGCAGCATCGTAAAGGTATAACATTTCAGCCTATTGATCTATATACGCAGCATAAGATAAATAGGCAATTCTCAGATGCATCCCGCAAGCTTCTTGTCCTTAACCTCACTGGTGGTTATCAAACAGGGGCTGTGAAATCTCTCTGGGACTCCTCTCAGTCCATTAATTGTGCTTACTGTGAAATGCCAGATACACACCACCACCGTCAGTTAGAATGTCCGAATTTCCAACATCTTCGTGATAAACATCCGGAAGCAATAACTTATCTTCAAGAATTTCCCAACTTGCTTTGGTTTCCGCTTGCCACACAGCACGCTGCCCAGAAGACATATAACTTGTTGGTGCAAGATCGGATTGGTCCCATTCTTGATGTCCCCAATATTGTCGATTGTTCACATTTCGTTTTTTACACAGATGGCACTTGTGATAAACCGTCACATCAAAACTGTTGTCGAGCTGCATGGGCAGTTGTGCAACATGTTCATCGAAACCCAGACGACCCTTCCATGGATGATTTTCAAGTTGCGCAGACGTCACACATCCAGGGCCAACAGACGATTAATCGAAGTGAATTAGGCGCCGTAGCATGGTTGACACAGCATTTTGCCACTGCCTATCCAAATCGATTTATGACGATTCACACGGACTCATGTTTTGCGCTTAGGATCGTTGAAGGTATAGCCCAGGGAGTTTTGGACCCCAGAACTTACCAAAAAACGCATGTTGACCTCCTCCGGGTCGTTCAGCAAAACTGGAATCCGTTATACCACTCTATTTGCAAAGTCACATCACACCGAAAATTTGAAGAGGCATGTGACTCCGAAGATTTATACACGATTATGGGTAACGACTTGGCTGACAAGGCAGCTAAGCAGATCAATAAATTGGACAATCCCCTTCTCTTGTCTGCCACGGAATCCATTTCAGACCATTCACAACGCCAACGGCATGTTTTGTCAACTGTATACTGTTACCTAGCAGAGTTAAATGCTCTCCATTCGAAACTTAATTTGGAGAAGGAAAAGAATGCGGCTGCAACACACGAATTTAACACTCTTGATGCCGTCTCTAATTATCAGAACACACTTCGTACGTGGCGTGTCTCTAATGTGGGTTGGATTCTTAAGTGCGACCTACCAGAAGTGGTTGCGCAAGCGTGTCCCTGTGGTGCGTCCATTGCATTTAAGGTTTGGCGTATGTTTCATACCTTTGAATGGAAATCATGTGATTCGCCAGCTACACCAGGTGATTTTGGTGTTTCATGGTATGAATTGGCCTTTTACTTTGCGATTTTTACAGGACATTTTCTGCCAATTTGGATCTCATCGAAAACTGAAAAATTGCCTTGGCCGTATGACTATGATTCACCCGAAGCTCAAATCCAACCCCATGAAAAAAGAAGCTTGTGGCATCAAGCCTCCGTTCTTCGCTCTGTTGTGCGTTACCTGGAAAACTCCCTCCGATGTGAATTTTACCCCCGATATAAGAAGACCAATGCAAGCTCTTTAATCCGACTGGGATATCACCGTAGTCTTGTGGGGGGCATCTCTGCGCGTCCTAATATGCCATTTGCTGATCTACTGATTGCGAATCTGACATCCTATTCGTCCATGCCGACCCAATCGTATCCACTTAATGTGCGAGTGCTTCCGACACTCAAAGCTGCTGATAATTCTTGTCCCAATCCGCCTTACTCCGATATTCCATACCGAAAGAGGCACAACCTCTATCAAAAGCTCAAGAAATGCCTTCGCTTGAAACATAACCTTGCAGATCTTGATGTTCCAAATTAGGTGCTTGTAGATGTGGCTGGTAGTAATTCATTTTTAAACATGTCACCCATCCTCACTGTGTCTTACACCGGTGCTGGATTTTGGTGTGATATACTTTTCTTTGTGTACATGATGTTTTGTGTCGTACATACCTACTCTCTAGTACCCCACTTTTAGTGGAAGGGCGTGAGAGGCGAACCCTGGATCGCGAGTTGGTGTGGCGTGTGTGAGCATATTTTTTGGGAGGTTTGGGGTTGCCATCTTGCACCAGGAACGTGAAGGGCGCTTTGGCCCGCTTTGGCAGTGAAGTAGCCGTAGGCAATGGTTTTTGGAGATGTTGGTGTGTATTGGACTCGCTTTGGGGGCGTGTGGGACCGGGAGCAGTTTTTGTAAGGTCTATAGTCTATTGTGTCAATCTTGCAGACTGGGTGCCCTTTTTGGTGGACAGTCAATTGTGAAAGTGGACACTTTGGAAAATTACCAGGAAAATCATGGAACTAGGACATACTACTAGGAGCAAGGACGCTACTAGGAGCAAAGGGCATCGCTACTAGGAGCAAGGACGCTACTAGGGTTACTAGGGCTCCACGGTTTTTTGAGGTGTGGGGACGTCTGTTTTTGAGGTATATTTGGTGCCCAAAGTCGCTTATTTGTACGCATTCACACCAGTGGGTGCTTCCGCGCTTTCCCTGTTTTTTCCAAGCTGGTTTGACTTGATCGTGGAACGATTTGCAGCAGGACAACTACAATGAACAGATTGATATGTGGTCAGTTGGTTGCATCTATGCTGAGTTGCTGCAAATGCTGGCCGCGCCCTCAGTTTTGCTATGCTGAATTTAATTTGGTAGTTGCCCTACCGCCACCAAGGAGGGAACCCACCATGAGGACCCGGAACTTTGAAGCAAACACCGTTTGCCAAATGAAGTTAGAGTGAACTCTGTGCCTATTGAAAGTCTGCAGATGAAAGGAAATTAAGTCAGAGGAAGGAAGTGCGTTGGAGGACCGTGGTCCTCTTTTCCCAGGGTCTTCATGCTATCCACTATCTCCAGATCGGAAACATCGAAAAGACCCACGATTCCACACGCCTCTTGAACGCAGGAAGAGTCTTATTCTTGAAAGAGTTTCATTGTTTCATAAACATCGTCAAATCGTTCTGAACGGAGCTCTTGTTCGCAACCATATTAAATCATTTACAGGCGTGGGAGTGTGGCACTCAGATGTTGTTGTTTCTCGCACAGTGCGGCATGGGCGGTATGGGCGTATCCCCTCGAATCCAAATCTGTGCTGGAAGGCACGGACCAGCTCAATGTCATTTTTGATCTTTTGGGCACTCCATCAGAGGCAGGATATCAATGTTGGTTTGATCATCTGATCTTTTTTCTGCTGCCCATCCAATTTTTGGTTGTTTACAGTATTGAATAGTTTGCCTCGGCAACTTCAGGTTGCTGCGGGGCTTGTTGAAAGTAGATCCGGCTTTGACTTGCAGTTTTTTTGCTGCAGCATTTCTGACGTTTGAGGCCGAGATAGCTCAACTGCACACTGAGGCCCAAAGCAGTCAGATGATGTCAGATGACTGCCAGTTCGTTGTGCATCTTCCCTGTACAACACTGTACAGGAGGCTAAGCAGCATATCCGAGCGCTGGCAAGACGTGAGCGCAAGGGCGTGCGAAGAGCTCAAGTGCAGCATGGAGTGCTTGATCGAGTTTCGCCATGTTGACAGCGTGTAAGACTTGGTCATCCTGTAGTGCTAAGTCTTCCGCAAGCAAAAGTGCATGATTCCGAGGCGTAGTCGCTTCCCAGATGCGCCAGAAGAGTCAATAGACTTGCTTGAGCCCAGCCCTCAGGATTGTTTTTGCTTCTAATTCTAACCACAAACTTTCTGTCTTCCAATACTGGATGCAAGCCGGACAGGAAGATGCTCAAATTTACTCCAATCGAGAGAATTGCCGTTGCCGTGCCCTCAGTGCCGTACCGATGCCGTGATCGGTGCGAATTCCGAAAGGGCAGCAGGTAACTGGCTGAGGCCTCGGGAACGGGCTACAGTAGATACTTTGATTGTCACAGGTCATCAGGTCCCACTCCGTTGGACCGAAGAGACTTCCCACTTCTTTGGACCCAATCATTCTGTAGGCGCTGATAGGGATGCTGCTGCTCGACCTGTAGCCAGAGTCAAAAATTCACTACCTCACCACTTTACCTCACGATCACCTAAAAATCTACCAAAATGCTACTCCCAACTCCCAACCACTGACAACATGTCTACAAGCATGCCACTGCCATCAAGCCTTTCAAGCCTTTAGTGACTAGTCGCTGTGTTCTAAGGACGCTGCGCTTGACCACGACCTGTTCAAAGATATTCGCGACAAACAGGTCGAGACGGTGGCGTGCTAAACCAAGATCCCGAATACAGTAATGGTGCCGAACAGCCCGTGCTTTTTGCAGCAATGAGCTTGCATCGCTCTGTTTAGGCCAGCTCCAGTAATCTTGGAATTCGATAAAGAGCCTGATCTTGGCGAAGCTGTGCCGGGGGCTCATTGAAAGCCTTTATAAAGTCAATCAGCTTAAGGTCAGGAAACTTTGTGCATCTTGCAGAAGAGCAACGAGTAATCGAGGCTTCGCAAGGGCTTTGCCGAAGAGATTGCAAAGTTCCACAAGACCAGCGCGGACCCGCTTCTTGGCTGCAAGCAGTGGAGTCAGCCTTTGAAGCGCAAGTGGTAGTTAACTTGCATGATGCCTTACTACTAGTTACTAGGAGCAAGGACGCTACTAGGGGCTCCTGGCATCGCTATTAGGAACAAGGACGCTACTAGGAACAAAGGGCATCGCTACTAGGAGCAAGGACGCTTTGCCAGGAACTGCTGCATCCTTTGACTTGCAAAAGCTGCCGGGAAGCTTGGAAGCGAGCACTGAAGACATGTCTTTGATGCACTGGCTGGAAGGCGAATCAAAGCCTAGACCAGCACGGGATATTGATGCAGCTGGGCGATTTGACCTGTAATATACAGCGAAGGAATTCATTCCTTTGAAGGGAACACCTAGTAGCTGATTGGAAATTTGAAGGCTTGACAACTCTCAAACTGAGAGAAGCTCAATGCAGACTTTTCCAGATTGATATGATTTCAAGAATATCCGCACAATCAAAACAAGTACAGAGCAATTTATCTTCAATCAGAGACATCTGAGACTAACTATTGTGATACGTTATGTTTTTTACGAAAGCCAGCCGATAGGCTAGGCTGCAAATAATTCTTGAGATATGTTTCATTTCCTTGTTCCCAACAATCCATCTATCCATCCATCCAATCGAACATCCATCCATCCATTTGTGATAGAATCCATCCACTTTAGCTTAGCTAATAATAATGATACTAAATTCCAAATCCCGAATGCGTATATAATAGCGGCGTCCTCGGAACCAAATTTCCACTTGTATATAGTAGCGGCCATGCAACGACGCCCGCAAAATCGCAACGCCTATTTATAACCATACCTACAAAAACACCAATGCGGCAACAACACCCGCAAGACCCCACTGCCGATCCGCAACTAATCTGCATTTGTGCTGGCATCACTGCGGCAGCAACGCCCGCAAAACCAAAATCCCGGCACCAACGCGCGCAAAGCGAAACGCCGATCCGGAGCCAATGCCTGCACCAACGCGCGCCAATACCGGCAGAACAAAATACCGACCTAACACCAGCACGGCAGCAACGCCTGCAAAACGAAACGCCGATCCAGAGCCACACCATTGAGAAATAAGAAATCCTTGTAATTTGCAAGCATGTGGGTTCTTACACCTGCACCAACATCAATCCAGCATCAATGCCCGCAAGACCAAATCGCCGATCCACAGCCAACATCTGCGCCTGCACCAACATCAATACGGTAATAACATCTGCAAAATCATAGCGTCGATCCATAGCCAACACCTGCACTCGTACCAGCACCAACACGGCAACAGCATCCGCAAAGCCAAAGCCGATCCATAATCAACGCCTGCGCCTATGCAAAGTCAAAACGCCGATCCAGAGCCAACACCTACACCTGCACCAACATCACTACGGCAACAGCGCACGCAAATTCAAAACGCCGATCCAGATCCAGCACCTGCACCTGCATCACCACGGGAATAGCACCCGCAAAACTAAAACTCCGATCCAAAGCGCCTGCAACTGACTGGGGAAATATCTAATTTCCCAACAACGTTAGCTTGGGGTTGTACACTCTTTAGGCCGGGCGCCGTCGGATACACGGCCCCCGGCCTGGGCGGTGGTGTCGCGGTGTCTCGGTCATATTTAGGGGCCAAGTTCATGTGGTGTTTCGGTTACGTTTAGGCGGTGTTTCGGTCATGTTTAGGTGGCGTCTCGGTCCTGGTGCCAGAATTAAAGGGCGGTCTTTCTGAGAACTGATGCAATTATTTTACAATATATGTTCTTGGGACTCGTGTTGTTTACGACAATAAATAATAAGTGTAGTTTGTTTTCAAATCTTTGGAATGTTCCTGGAAAAGATCTTTTTAACGACAGTATCCACTGAGGGTGGTTTTTTGCGTCGGTTGAACGGAGGCTTTTGTCGACGGTGCCCGCTAATTCACCGGTTTTTCTGCACCTGTAGGATCACAGAGCGTTACCTATCTTTGAATGTCGCGTGCGTAAAAAAAGTGGGAGGCGGGCGCAAGGAGACGGGCGCAGCACCCCTCCCCCCGCAGGGCATGACATAGCTTGGAGTATGAAACAATCGCAAAGCTACAGGAGAGCAATGGTAGTGCTGCGGGTTGGACAAAAAGAACGGGGGGTGCAGGGGGAGGGCGCAAGGCCTCCCCCGCAAGGCGTGATATAGGTCGCCAAGCTAGACGGTCGCGGAGTTGGGGCCAGCGCACCGAATATGGAAAGATAAGTTCAATACCGCCTATATACGTTGATCAATCTCTTTGGAAGAAGTCTTGCGTCGAAGCTCCAACGTGGATAGAAATCTTGAAAAAATTGCGTAGAAATTCTTAAGGTTTGCCCAATGATCTTCGGGGGAATTTCTCTGACATCTCTAAATGATACCGCCAAGAGACACAAAGCGACGAGGAGCAACAGGTCGAGGAGAAAAGAAAGAAAAGGGCGAAACGGTGGACAAGAGGAACGGAGGATAAGACGGAAGGAAAAACAAGAAGAATGCAATGGAGCAGGACAGGTGGAGGAGGGCGAGAAAAGGGGGGGGAAGGAAAGGATAAGGATGAGGAGGAGGAGGCGGAAGAAATGGGGGGAGGAGGAAAAGGAATAGGAAGAAGAATAACAGGAATAGGAAAGGAGGAGGAAGAGGAGGGAGGAAGGAAGAAACATTTATTAATTTTTACATTTTTTTATATTATAAAATATGTCTATCGATGCAAAAAAAGAATATCCTTTAATAAATTTATTAATTTTAAACAATATTTTATAATAATAAAAAGAAATTATCGACGTCAAAATTCGATTCTAATATATATATATATTTTTTTAAATATTTTTAATTATTATATATATAGATTGCGTTTACAAAGCATTATTGAAAAAATATAGATAAATATACATTTTTTAGGGTTGGAAATGGATTACGAAAGCCAGCTTTCGTAGAAGGCGCTAGACACAATTCCGTGAATAGTTAGGGGGTCTGGGGGGGATGGCCCGAGAAAGGTATATGTTAATTGGGAAGGAGGGTGATTCGAGGGAAGGTTTTTTGAGGTTGTGTTGGAGGTGATTTTTGAGGGGTGGTGATGTAAGAAATGCCAAATGCATCATTTGCATTATCTGAATGGAAAGGTGGAATTGGTACCTTGCAAGGTATAGAGACCTAGGGTAGCCATAGTGCAGCTACTAGGTATAGTACTTTAAATTGCTTTTCCGGCAACCGCTTGAGAATCTCTACACACGCATAGCAATCCACAGCTTTGAAGTCTCATTCGTGCTTTGAAGTCTCATTCGTGCTTTGAACTTGTATAGGTGTGTAAGAGGTATAGCAACATAGTATTTATACGGACCCAGGGTAGTTATA